CAAAAATGTGATCAAAGTACATATATATATATATATATATATATATATATATATATATATATATATATACAGATTTATATACCCCAAGACAAGGAAAGACTTTCTTTTGATCTCAATTTTTTAAGAAATAGTCCAGGAAACAAGTGCCTCAAACCTGGATTTGTCTTCCAACTTGGCTGCAGGCTAAAGCCTTTGCCCTCCTGGTCAGGTTTCTTGAGGCCCAGGCCATCCCCTCTCCTCTCGAATCCCTGGTTATCTATTAGCTCTGAACATGTAGGAGGGCCTGAGCCCAGTGGAGGCTTGGTAAAACATTATTCCTGAGAAGACCTGCTGTTGAACATTTTTGGCTTTTTTTTTTTTTTTTGCTTGAGCGTCCTTGTGCCTGGCTCTCCCCAGGGGACACACTGCATATGGTGGCTCCTTGGCTGTGTCTTGTACTTGGCACTGTTTTCTTCCGGTCAAGGAGGCTGGGGAAAGGAGAGTTGCCTGCATTGATTTAAACTAGTTTTCTTTTAGCATTTTGGAGTAACGTGGGAAAGTGAATGGCACTGAGGCCAGACTCTTAGGAAAGGAATCCTCTCCAAGACACCCTGCACCCAGCCATGCACACTTTTAGATTCCTGGACCTGAAAATAAAATTTTCTTCCTGCGCACAAGGCCACTCAGAAAAGCACAGCCATATTTAGGGGCTTGGAACAAGGGAGCTGGCAGGCCCCGGCTTGAACCAAAGTCCTGTTTGGTGTGCACACCCCCCCCCCTTCCGGCACACACCTCTGCAAAGTGTGTGTGTGTGTGTGTGTGTGTGTGTGTGTGTGTGTGTGTGTGTGTGTGTATGTACTCGCCCCTTTAGAGGCTTCCCTCTGGGAAATGGCTGGTTTTGCACTATAATCAATGCATCCATCAGGCAGGGACATGAGCTGGGTGCTACACCAGCCCTGTTCTGGGAGTCAGTACTGCTTTTGAGACAATAATTAGAAAACTTATGAAAACATTGGAACCCAGCACTTGGGAGGTTGAGGCAGGAGGACTGCTGTGAACTCCAGGACAGCCTGGGCTATCTAGGAAGAGCCTTTCTAGATAGACTTTACCATGGCTGGTAAAGGTTTCTGCATCCTGCCAGCTACAGTTGGAGGAAGCATCACAGATGATAAGGTCCCCTGGTGGGGGGGCGAGAAGGGCAGTTGTGGAGGAAGCAGGAGGACCCTGGCCACTCCAGGGACACAATTACTTGAGATTACAGGAAGGGCTCTAGAAAATGGAGTTCAAGCCCCAGCTTTCACCAAAGCAGAGAGTCGGGGGTGGAGTGGGGGTGGGGGGAGGATGTGCCTGAGTTCACTCAGGCAGATGGGCACAGGCCCTGCTAACCTTCAAGCTGTTCTCCAGAGCAGGTCGACTGTTGGGGAGACCTGGCCTCTGGCTGGGTGGACTGGGGAAGTCAGTCACGATGCTGTGATGCAACTGGCCTCTGCCAGCCACAAACCCCCATTCATTGTTTCCTGCTGCTGCTGCTGCTGCTGCTGCTGCTGCAAAGTCATGGGGGTGGGCTAGGAGTCACAATGGGAGGAGGGAGGCGTCTGGGTGGGGCTAAACCTGGCTGAGGCCTTTGGCCTTCCCTGGAGGGCCTTGAACAACAGCCTCCATGGACAGGGTGAGGTGGGGGTCCCTGCCTCAATTTCTTGCTTTGCTTTAACTAGAGTGATAAAATTCTAGCATCCGGTTGTGTCTCACCACCCCACCCCCAGTGCCCTGTGCCTTGGGGAGGAGCCGGTGTTGCTAAAATTGGGAGAAACTGAAAGACTCCCTGGCCTCCTGAGAAGGGGAGAAGATGGCATAGTCAGCTCACGGAGGCCCTGGGCTCTGACCCACCTGTTCCCAGTCCATGGGCTGCTCAGTGGCACTTGTTATCCCAGGAGTGTGCTGCTGGCATCTGGGGCTGGCATGGCTGACTGCATGCTTGTCCTGGGAGCCCAGAGCTGAGTGGCACTTAACCCTGAACACAGAGTGCACCTGAACAGAGGCTTTAGCGCCTGGACCTGCAGAGTCTAAAAGCCTTGGTTTGCACCTGCTTTGGGTGCATGTTCTGTCGTGCTTTAACCCCTGGGTCTTGGTTTCCTCATTTGTAGTCGGGACAGAGAATGGAGCTAAGCACATCTGCTTGTAGGAGATATGAGTGGAGGGGCCAAGACCTTTTGGCTCAATGTGTGGGATGAAAGTGCAACTTTCTGTGATGGTACAGAGGGGAGACCCTCCACCTGGTCTGCTCCATGGTGCCTAACACCCTGGGGACATCTGAGGGTGGAATGTGGAGGAGGGTGGAATGTGGAGGAAGCCAGCTGGCTCCCCTAGCCGGGAAAGGAGCTGGGCAGTGGTGTCCTGGGCTGCTCCTTGTCCTTTCAAGATGACACCTTAGCTCTGAGTCGGAATTAACCATCGACATCTCATGGCCCTTGGTGTCATTTCTGAGCACTGGGCAGCACCTTTGGATTTTGCTCTTGTCCTTCATTGGCTCTGGGGGAGATGGGTGGTCTATTGAAGTTGCCTGTGGGCTAGAGGTGCCGGGACCCTCACCCCCACTTTTTTCCCCCACAGATGTGCACTCCCAGCAACACCCCTGCCACACCACCCAACTTTCCTGATGCACTAGCCATGTTCTCCAAGCTTCGAGCCTCTGAGGGCCTGCAGAACAGCAACAGCCCCATGACGGCTGTGGCCTGCTCCCCCCCTGCAAACTTCAGCCCCTTCTGGGCCGCATCCCCACCCAGCCACCAGACGCCCTGGATCCCACCCTCTTCCCCCAACTCCTTCCATCGCCTCCACCGCCCACAGCCCACGTGGCCCCCTGGAGCACCACAGGGGGGCACCCAGCAGAAAGCCATGGCAGCAGTGGATGGCCAGAGATGAGACTGGATGGCACTGGGCTGGAGTGGGTGCAGTCCAGGGTTGTGGGGACACAGAGCAGGGCTGGGGAGGGGGGAAACACCAGAGGGTGGGGGGGTTCGGATCGCACTGGAAGATTTTATAAGAGAATTTTTGTGGGGGCGCAGTAAACGTCCTGAGCCACTTGGGTTCTTCAGGAGTTTCTCTTTGGGAAAGTTTTTCCTCTTTTTAATATATAACTATAATATATATGAATATAAATTTAATGTATGCGCGAGTGGGGCCTGCACACCAGGGTTGTTGGAGTCGGAAGGGAATGGCCTCAAAAATCTCTTTCCTTGACAGCACCTCTCCCTCTGCCCAATTTGGGGGAGCAGATGGGTGCTCATAGTCAGATGGAGTGAGCTTGCAGTCAGGTGGCTGTGCTGCCTCCTTTAGAAGCCACATCAGCCATTAGGAAGTGCCCCCACCCCCAACGGAGGTTCCAGAAGCGTCCTGTTGGAATTGTGGACTTTCCAACCCCATCACCGGTAGATGGAGTTTTCATCTCTGCTGGTGGTGACCTCTCAGTAGCCACGAAACTTGTCACCCTGTCCCCAACTGGGTGTGCAAAGCTGGTAGGACTGAAGAGTTGGCTGACCTCTGAGTGGGTACTTGGCTGTCTGGTCCCTTACTGTCCTGGCTGTCCTGCAGGTCCCCAGCCTCTCTGTCTAGCATCAGAGGACGACAACTTCGGAGAGCCTGCCTTTGGATTCGAGTTCCTAAATTAAAATCACATCTCATCAGGGTGCAATTTTAATTTAAAAACTTTAAAAGACTTTTCTAACTAACTGGTTTGTGGTGCTCTTGTTTGCTTTGGTGGGAAGGGTCAGTGGGGGCTCTGCCTGGGGTAGCAGTGGCATTGTCATTTGACTGCTGCAGATTTTCCTTGTTGAGGATACATGGTCCCAGCTGTTAGGGAGTACAGGCAGGGGCAGTTCCTTTCTTCCCTCAGCCTGGAAGCCATTTCTGCCATGGGCTGTATGGTTTCCTGATGGCTGTTGTCTTCAGGCCTACCTCTGTTCCTGCCTTCCTGAGCAGATTTCTTAGGGGCCTGTTGAACACACATAACCTGAATGTGTGAACCAAGATTGTTCCAGTGCCACAGAGACTGGATTTCTGAAGGAGCTGGGGTGGTGTCTGCCCTGCACCTCTTCTCAGCCTCCAGCAGGGTGTTAGGTTACTAGTAGCGTAGCCTGGTCCTGGCTGTAGGAGTGTGTGGCCTGTCTTGAAGGAGGGCTTGCTCCAGGGTTCCTGACATTGGTCTCTTCTGAGAGGTCAAGGGTTAAGATGCAGAACTGAGTGGGGAAAACGGCCCAAAGTGAAGTGAAACAAGTCTCCAGCCAGGCAGCCTCCCCACCCTGCTGTTTCTTCAGTCTTCAGCCACCACCAGCCACTCCCTGGTGGAGTGGAGCACTGGCCCAACCACCCTCCATTGCATGGGGCACATGGCTGGACTTGGAAGCTGGGTTTGCCCGTTCAGTTTTGTTTCTGGGTTGGAACCCTATGGGTGCCCTGCCCCTTCCTACCTGTGCTTTCCCAAGTCTGAAGGGGAAGTCCCTGGCTGGCAGGCATGTGGGTGGCCAGCCAGGGGCTGCTGGGACATGAGGCAGGGTCCATTCCCATGTGGGGCCCTTTGTGGCTGTAGGGCAAGGCCTGGGCAGGGTTGTGCCTCCCTGTGAGGCTTGTGGATTTGGCTTCTGGACCAGGGAAACTGAGCTGACCTTCTGACATTTCACTGCCAGGGAGGGACTAGCGTGAGAGAAACAGGAGCCGAGGGGGTGGGGTTGGCCCTGCCCCTTGTTTCAGAGGAGAGCTCTTCCATCTAGGGGTGCCCATAGGGGACTCGTTGACCAAGCCACTCCTCTCCCCATCGAGTCTCAAGCATGGTCACAGAAAGATTCAGCGAAGGGAGGAGCATTCCTCTCCCAGGGCACCCTCCCCCTCACAACCCCGGAGCCGAGCCCCTCAGTTCCATCAGTGAGAAACCCATAGCCTGGCCGTTTCCTACCACACTTTTCCTGTGTGATTTTGTCGCCCCCTCTTCTCACACCTCCAAGTGAACATCTTGCCCCAGATGCTCTCCCATGTGAGAGGGAGTGATGGAAACTGGTGTGGGGGTGCCCTATCTCCCACTTTGCGCACCTCATTCTGAGTGGGAATAGAAACTGCTTCATTTTGAGACAAGTTCTTGCCGGGTCACCCATATTGGCCTTGAGCTCTGGCCCCTCCTGCTGCAGATGACTTAGAGTGCTGGCTGGGAGTATAGGTGTGCACCGCCACACTCTGCTTTGACCATGCAGGGTTTCCTGCAGGGTTCGAATCTGGTGAGGTTTTTTTCTTTTTTGGGGGGGCAGGACTCTAGGCTCTGTGTGGAGGTCTCAGCTCAAGACTGAGCTGGGTGCAGTGGTACTAGCAGCCCTGACCTGCCCAGACCCTGAGCCTAAAATAACCCTGAATAGTGGTGAGCACAGGTGGAGGTGAGCACACTGGCCTGAGTGAGTGGCCATAGGGAGCAGAGTGGGGAGTCAGCCTCATGCAGTTGAGTCCTGCTCACCCCCATACACACACACATACACTCCAGGCAGCCATGCACTGAGCCCCTTAACTTTCAAGCTACCCTCATCCAAGAGGACTGCAGAACAGAGCTGATGGAAACCTGCCCAGCAGTGCAGGTTTGCTCTTCTGGCTGGAAGCTGTGTGCGGAGCCAGGAGCTACCCTGAGCCAGTAGCCAGGGAGCAGGTGGCTGCTATACCTCACCTCCAAGTAGAACTGGTGTACAAACACTATGGGTCCCAGCCTACTCAAGAGTGTCTCGGGCTGGTCCTGCACACTGGAAGATAGAGTTAGCACTGTCCGATGAACACTAATACTTAACAGGCGCAGCCTGTCCCTAGGTTCCCAGAACCAGGTCTGGAGTCTCACCCCAGCTCTCCACCCTGCCCTGGGTCCAACATTCTGCTCTGCCCTCCCTGAGCTCCTGCATCCTCAGGATGGCTCAGTGGGACTTGGCTTTAGCTCTCCAGCCGGAAACCAGAACTGCTGTCCAGGGAATAGCCTGCCCTTCAGATGTAGGGGAGGCCTGGAAGCCCAGGGCCACTTGGCCAATAGCAGATACCTATCTCCTGCTCACCGCGTCTTGTGCTTGAAGCAGGACAGCAGGGAAGTCTCCTGGCACCCAAACTCCAAACTCCTTTAAAAAAAACTTTTATTTATATCTCTGTTTAGTGAGCAGCGGTGGACCTGGGTCCCCGGGTGGGCTCCTCCATCTCCTCCCTAGGAGACACTTCCATATGCACCTTCAGCCCAGAGGGGCTGCCCTGCAGACCTGCCATCTCTGTGGGGCCCAAGGAGTGGGCCATAATCGACTGGGAGAGACGCCCCTCAGAGGAGACGGGTCTGTCTTTCTTTTGTCCTGAAGAAACTGCAAGACAGGAGGGCCTCAGTTTGCTCTGCCTGGTCCCCCATGCCCACCAGGGTCCACTCTACCTTACCCAAGGCCTAAGCAAGTTGTGGACCGCATTAGCTAGGCTGCTAGTCTGGGCCTCACAGTGCAAGCATTCCTGGGTGTCCCTGGGAAATGCTTTCAGGCCTTTTCGTGATCCTCATATGGGAGCATTCAGTAATAACCCCCTCTGTGGGACCCCTGAGAAGCTGCCTCTTTGATGGCCCCTCCTGTTCTTTTAGAGGCTGTTTGGTCAACACTCACACAGAACCAAGAATTTTTCTACACCACTCTCCAACTTCTATGTGGTAAGTGTTTCTAAGTAGAAGGTAGAATGCCTGAGACACGAAAGCCAAGGACCCAGGAGACTGTGACAGAAACATGCCGCTATGGGCCTTGAATTTCAGCTTGGGCTCTTCCTGTTCCACCCCTCCCTATCTGTTTCCCTAGTGGTTCCTGGGGCTAATGTTGGTTTCTGCCTTCTAGTGTAGGTGTGTGAATTAAAACTGATTCATAGACAAAAAACCCCACCTAAACACCATGGCTACCATGCCTACCTTATTTCCCCTCCCATGCTACAGGCTCTCATGATTGCAGGGACGGAAGTATGTTACAGTGCTCAGAGGTCTTAACTGGGGTGCAGGCCAGTGTATGAGTGTGGAGATCCTTGGGTCTTTTGCCAGCATTCACAAAACACTGTGTGTGCACACGCGTGCACATGTGCGCGTGCGCTCCAGCTGCTAGCAAGCCTCCCTGCCTCTTAGGAGTGCTGGTCTTGTACACACACACACACACACAGAGATGAGGGGAGAGATTGGCTAAGTCACCTGGTAGTACGAGGCTGAGCCTCACATTCTAGCAAGGACCATAGGCCTTGCATGGTAGAACCCAGAGGTTCCTAGCCCCTTGGCTTTCAATCTGTTCTAGCTTCTCGGGAGACCAGGACTAGGGGCTTTCCAGGCCAGAAGGACACCTACAGGCTAGGGTCAAAGTGGCAGGGGTGGTGGTGGTGGTAATGATGTCCTGGGCCCACAGCCTGGCTCTTACAGCATTTATGTGTTTGAGCAGGGAACACCTTACACCTGGAGGCAGAGAGCTGGGTACATCTCTGTCCTTATGCCCTCTTGTGTGGAGTAGGACAACACCAGTGTTCACAGACCTGGCACATGGCAAACATTCAGCAACTGGGTTTTCCCATTTTCCCTCCCATCTCATCCTTTAGTTCCCTGGCCCTTGCCATCTCCTGCCTGGGCTGGAAGAGAGGGCTGTCCTGGAGGAAGGGAAGGCCTGGGGCTAGTGTTCAGGCTGCTAGAAGGAAGCTACCTGCATTGCTGTCTGTCAGCATCTGTGCACTCAGAGGCCGAAAGGGTGGCAGGCCCAGGGATGGCTGTCTGTGGTTGTGGGGCCGGCCATGCTGGCCCTGCTGCAGCTGCTGGAGCTGTTGGAGCTGCTGCAGCTGCTGCAGCTGCTGCAGCTGCCTGGACTTGGACTTTGGCATTCCTGAGGCTGAGAAGGGCAGGAGGAGGGTCAGTGCCTAGGGAGAGCTGTGGGAACCATGGGGATGAGGAGCCAGCTGGGGTAAGATCCTTCACAGGCTAAGTTTGTGGCCACGCCTCTCAGAAACCCTTGGCTCATCTACACATCCGCCCAGCTGCCAGTCTGTCCATCCAGGCACCCACCCACCCACCTAGGTTCTTGGAGGACTTGGACACATCAGCCTTGTGTAGGGACTGAGTGAGTTCTGGCCCAGGCTTGTGGTTCAGGAAGGAGACAACAGGGGAAGGCTCAAGGCATGATGGGAAGTGTCAGCCATACACTTCGGGCCTTCAAGGAGCCTTGGTGTTGGAGTCAGATAATAGTGCCCACTGCTGGGTTGAGAAGTCAGTTAGGGCGTGGCCCCATTGGTGCAGGGAGCTGAGGTGCAGGGAGGAGAGCCCTGCTGTGGTAGTGTGCCGGTGAAGGCCAGCAAGGAAGGACAAAGCCACTGCTTGGCGATTGGCTGGGTTTGGCTACTGCTCTCCAGGAGAAAACAGCCGCCTGGCATCGGAGAGGAGAAGGAAAGTGCTTGGGGCCCAGTGGCCTAAGACATGCCTGCACCCAGAGAGACAAACATCCTTTGGAATCCCAACAAGAACCCAAGGGAGCTCTAAGCTGTGTGGACACTCACCATCTTTTGCTAGGATGCCTGGCAACCTTGTATCCATCCGTCCCTTGTAGATGTGTCCATCAAGACCCAAGATGTCGACCTTATCGTGCTATGGAGGGATGTGCCTGTCTGTTATTATTGTAACATCCTGAGTGTACTCTAGGGGGGCTTGGAGTGCAGATGCTGCTGGCAGGCAATGGCAGAACCCTCCCTGGGAACCGAGCCCTGGGGCACTTGCCTGTGATGCTGGCTTTGGAGAGACTGGGGCAACAGGCTTCCCATCGACCTCAAGGCCAGTCTGGGAGCTAAAGCTAGTGCCAGTCCAGCCAGGACTATAAAAAGCAAGAGCCCCATGTGGAGGCTGGGTTGAGTGCAAGGTGGAGGGAGGTCAGAGCCCTGTCCCAAGGCCTGCCTGTTGTGGGAGGCCACAGTGCGGTGTCTGGGAGACTTTGTGAGAAGACCATGTCTCAAAAAGTGAACAGAGGCTGGGGAAGATGGTTTGTCTAGCAACCCCCAGGACAGCAAGGAAGGCAGAGGGCCAAGGGGTTTTCCAAAAGGGGCATGGCAGGGCTGTCCTCCCCATGGCTCCTCCCAGCAGACCTTCATGGCAATCTGGATCTCCTCCAGTGGGGACAGGTGCTGTGGGCGGTTTCGGCGGTAAGGGTAGGTGAGGGTGTGGCTGCCCCCACAGCGCCGGGGCACAGTTGAGTAGGTATAATCTGCAGTTTCTAGCCCCCTGGGATGCAGAGACAGGGAGTCGCTTTGAGTCACCAGGAGCGTTACCCGGAACAGGCAGGTGAGTGAGCCACACACCATGCGAAGCCTCACACACTCTCACCCTTCATCCCACCCCCTCCCCTCATCCCTGGCAACAGGGTGACATTTGCTCTGACACCCTGGGTGTCAGAAGCCAAGCTTGGCCATCAGGGGCCTGTGTATCCCTGGACTCTTGTCCTACCGTTTGTAGCACGGATGGCTGAGGCACTGGGCGTGAAGCAGCTCTCGGATCATCTGGCTGCTGGCCTTCACAGAGCCTCCGAAGTGGATCTGCACCTTCTCGATGTCCATCAGCATTTTGGAGTGCATGCTGCGCAGGCGCCCCACGCTCCTCTCCATCTGCGACAGGTCACCCCGAGACAAGCTGCCCCCCAGCTTCAGGCTGTGAGACCACCAGGGCAGAGGAGAACAAGGTCAACCCGGGGCCAGACACAGCTCCAGAGGCATGTCTCTCCTGGCCTCCTGTTCATACTTCCTTGGGCTCCAGGACCCTGTTCTGCAGGGCCCTGTGTCAACTGGGCTAGAGGCCCACGCCATGGGCCCTTGACTGAGGGTTGAGGGTCACCGGGCAGCTAGGCAGCTCTCGGAGACCTGGGAGGGACCAGACTTGCTGGGGAAGCTTTTCCCTAGATTCAAAAGCCCTCTTCCCCCACAAAACAAATACTTGAAATGTAACCAAAAATTTAAATACAAAACAAGAAAGTTAATCTAGTGGCCCCAATCCTGATCCTGGGCAGAGACCCTCGGCCTCCCAAGGTGCCTCTGGAGCCATCTTGGCTCCCCTCCCACCCCTCCCACCCCTCCCCAGGAACCCACTGTCTCTCGTACTTGCTGCGGCTCTGCTGTCGGACCTGCTCTAGCTCAAATACAGTATAAGGCCGGATGGAACGGTGCCCTGGCATGCTGGGAACCATAGGGGTCATAGAGAGGACCCTGGACAGGAACAGGAGGGGAGGGGAGGGGAGGGCGTGAGAAACCCCACCATTCAGCCACACCAGCCACTCACTCACAGGGTCTAAAGGTTATTCCTGACTGCTCATGGTGGGCCCCTAGGAAAGACCAGGGACAGAAGGGGACAAGAGGTAGGATGAGTGGGGACCCGGAGACACACCCCCTGGCTGTGCTGCCTTCTCCCTACCACCAATGCTGCGGGTGAGGTGTGGGCACTCACTGTCCAGTCACAGATGTCTCTAAGGGACGGTCACAGGACAAGCAGTGGAAATGAGCCAGGAGCTGCCTGTCAGGGGTGGGATACAGCGTTAGCAGGTGAGATCCAGAGAGTTTGCACACCCCCACCCTCCCATCCCCCCACCCCCGAAGGATGGACCTGCTGGCAGGTCAGGCCTCCAGATGAGGTAGCAGATTCTGCCCTACTTCTGGGCATTCACCTGCTCATTCTTTTTGTTTTGTTTTTCAAGACAAGGTTTCTCTGTGGCTTTGGAGCCTATCCTGGCACTCGCTCTTGTAAACCAGGCTGGCCTCAAACTCACAGAGATCCGCCTGCCTCTGCCTCCCGAGTGCTGGGATTAAAGGCGTGCGCTCACATCCTAGACCAGCTGGCCAACTCAGTGCCTTGTGTGTGCCTCTGGTGCCCCCTGGTGACCATAAGTGGGATTTCCCTACCCAGGTTCCCAAGGGGCATTTTGGTCATCCCCAGGAATACAGTGTAGCACAATCCAACCCCAAGAGCCTTGCACCTCCCTACTGCCTGTCTCCATCATCATCTGCCAACTTTGGGGGAGGATTTTTCAAGATATGGTCTCTCTGTTTCTCTGTGTTGCTTTGGAGGCTGTCCTGGAACTCGCCCTGTAGACTAGGCTGGCCTTGAACTCACAGAAATCCACCTGCCTCTGCCTCCCAGTGCTGAGATCAAAGGTGTCCGCCACCGCCACCAGTCCCGGCTAGTTGTTCAACTCTGAAATGCAGCCCCTCCACCTGATTGACAGTTCTGATTCGAGGGGCTGTGACTGCCCAGCTTGCAGCCTGCAGGTTCCCCATTGTCTTCCTGGCCTCCTCACCTCCGCATGGCAGCTGCCTCGTCTGCCTGGTAGAGTGGAGAGCGCTCTTTGAGCTGCTGCCGCAGCGATTTCCAGCGATCCTCCAGCATCTGCTTCACTGGGTCCAGCTCCAGGCGGTCCAGCTGGGAGATGGGCACCGGGTGAGCTTAAGGCGGCAGGTAGATGGGGGGAGGGATGCCGCCTTGGAGAAAGTGGTGGTGTCTGACGGCAGGGCCTTGCCTGGAGAGCAGCCCGGCTCTCCACCCTCACCTTGCTGTCCATCTCCGCCAGGAGCTTGTCCAGAAGCTTCTGCCAGTCCTGCTCCTGTCCACTCATCTTGGCCACGAGCTCCTGCATCATGTGGTTCAGCTGCTCTGTGGTGGCATCAAACTGGATCCGGCTCACTTTGGATGCCAGAGCGCTCTTGTCTGCTTTCTGCACGAGAGAACAGTGTGGGGGTAGGAGTGTCCCTCCAGGAGTGTGCACTCCATACCCCCACCCCTGCGCTGGCCGGGGAGGAGCCACAGAGGCTCCTGGGGTCTGGTGCTCACCACATCAATCTCCATCTCCAGGTGTTCCCGGTCAGCCTTTTCTTTCTCCAACCTCTCTATGCCCTGGTACAACACCTGGGGACCCACAGGACAGAGACAATGAGGGGTCAGCAATGCTGAGAGGCCCGGGGGAGCAGGCCGGGGGAGCCCTGTGGCGCTCACCTCAATGTCTTTCTGCTTCTGCCGATGGTCCTCAATCAGGTTGCTGGTGGTGATGTTGAGCTTCTCACAGTCTCCCTGGACTTGGAGGATGGCACTCTGCACGTGGCCCAGCAGCTCCTCATCCTGCAGCAGAGGCAGGGAGGCTCTTGGGAGGCTGCTGGGCCACCTCATAAACAGTCCCCTTTGGTCTCCATAAGCAGTAAGCTTCCTTTAGTACTACAACCAAAAGCCAGGGGTGGCAGTGCCAGCCTGTCATCCCAACACTCAGGGAGCGACCAAGATTGGAAGTTTGAGAACAGTCTGGGCCATGTACTGAGACTCTAACAGACAAGGGCAAAGCTTGGGGGATAGCTCCATGTGTAAAGGTGTTTGCTACTAAGCCTGGTGACCTGACTTCAACCTCTAGGACCTCCAGGGTGGACAGAAAGAACTGACTCCTGCAAGTTGTCCTCTGCCATGGGGTATGTACACGTGTGTGTGTGTGTGTGTGTGTGTGTGTGTGTGTGTAAAATAAACTCCTAAGTGTTAAAAAACAGAACCATCATTGTAGTGGTTTCTTGCCTTGCCAGTGATGGAAAAGTCCTCTTTTAATTAACCCTTGACTATTCACTTGGTGTTTTTTTATGAAATTCCTGGCAAGGCAAGGTGCCACCACATATCATCCAACACAGATGCTCACTTCCAAGAGCCATTCTGGTTTCCCCCAGTGGCATTCTCTGACAGTTGTGTCCCTCAACTGGACATAGTCACCAGTCCTCCCCATGCTGATGGACTGGCATCAGTGGCCTTTGGAGTCACCAGAGAGGTGACTGAGAGGCTCAGATGTGCTATGCTGTCCCATGGTCCCTGGGACATGTGAATTCCCGAGTCCAAGAGCAGAAGCCAGCGTCTGTTGCTGACCCCAACTCCAGCAGCAAGCTTTTCCTCCAGGGGAAGGCTACAATGTTTTGGGGACCCCGGCTATCGAGGGGAGCTGTGCCCTTGGTCAACCAGTGGCATTTCACCCACTAAGTCCACACTTCCCATGTTCCACTATGGCCAAAGCCAGCCCTGCTGCTGCCTTCACTGTGACCTGTGTAAGGAACGAGGCCTTATGTGGGGTCTGGCCCAAGCTCTCCACTGTAGAGACCTGACTCTCAAGCTCTCACATAGGCTTCTGTGGGCCCCTGGGAAGGCAGGCCCTCTACTGGGAGGTGGGGGGGGGCACCTCCAGCCACCCTGTGAGGGAGCTGAGCAAACTCGCCTGGCTCTGCAGCTTGGCCTTCTTGGAGGGCCTAGAGGCAGCCAGGCTGCTGACCATGTCCTGGAGTTGCTCGTAGCGCTGCACCAGCAGGCTGACTTGATGACTGACATCCAGACTGCAGGCTGGACAGGTGGCCTCCGGGTCGATCTGGCCGGGCACCGTGGTGCCTGTGAACTTGTGTGGGGTCATGCTCATGGACAGCAGCGTGGAGGAAGAGCTCAGCATGTTCTCGATGATGGTCCTGAGCTTGTCCAGCTGGGTGCAGGGCAGACACCAAGCGGGTAGGAAGGAAGGTCAGGGCCACATCTAACCACTAGTGGGGCACATTCTGCCTGACCCCTGCTGTGACACAGGGCAGTCGCTGCAACCTGGGCATTCCACAGTAGACAGTTGAGGTCTCTACCCATCAAGTAGTTTTTCAAATAACCTTTTTTCTGCCAGCCAGCAGCATTAGTGACAGAGAAAGCACCTGTGTTTGACCGGGTTTCTCCAGCCAGTCTGTGGACACCCAGTGTAAGGGCACAGCTTCTGTAGCTAAATCCTGACAGGGTAGTCTCACAGAGCTCTGATGACCCAATGGTCTTTCAGCACTGGGGGTTTTCCATGCTCTCTCTCACACAGGAGGTAAACCCTTAGCAATAAAGGAATGTGAGAAGTGCAAATATAGCTACACGGGTCTCTCAGGGTCTGAAGGTGCACGTTTCTTCCAGGGAGAGCTGCTCAGCCTGGCCCTCCTGCTTGCCTCTTCTCCCCCAAGGTCTTAGGCTTGCTACCACCAATGATTGGTCCTGGGTAGCCAGCTGGATTCAAGAGCAACCAACCTAGACCTGCTAAGGATGCTGCCCAGCTCCACAAAGACGAACCGTCCCCTTCCTAAGGGACGGTGACACCAAATAGACACTGCAGAGCTTAGGGAAGATATTTTGTTCTGGCTTCACACAGTCATCAGCCTCCTAAGGAAGGGTCCTGAGCTAAGGCCAGAGCAGCAGATAGCTGCTGGGGTAGAGAAAGGTATGCACTTCTCTCAGAGTCGATCCTCAGAAAACTTGGCCATCTCGGTGGCATCTTTAAGAATAAAGAGCAGATTTCTGGGAAATTAGGACCAGGAGGACATTTTGGAAAGAACAGCTTAAGTGTTTGGAGAAAGGCAGGAAGGCCAGGTAGACAGAGCCTGGTAGTACAGGTGGCACAGAAGGTGGAACCTTCTAGAAAGGAGGCTAGGGTGCCTGGAGTCCAGGTATGGAGTCCTTGCCTAGGAGCCTGGGTTCTATCCCAGCACTGCAAAGAGAAAATAAAGAGATTGCCAAGGAGGTGTTGGGGGTGGGTGAGTCCTGTGTGCAACCAGCGTGAGCTGGCAGGTGACCCTTGGCTCTCTCAATCTCCTCCTGCTCTTGCAGAGCAATCAGCGAAGCAACTTGGGGAAGGGGGGGGGTGTTGGATGTGTAGCACAGCACTGTCTGACATGAAAGTCCCTGGGTTTGATCTTTCCAGCACCACATGTGAGCAGGTACACAGGGCAGCCAGCGGGCATGGGAAAAGGTCTCAGCATCACGAGTTACTGGGGAGATGCAAGTGCAAACCACAGTGACACCTCACACCCACCAGAATGTGTATAGCTTTCCAAAAGGAGAAGAGTGAGGCTGGGAGAGATGGCTCAGCCGCTAAGAACACTGGCTGCCCTCACAGAGGACTCAGGTTTGGTTCCCAGCACCCACAAGATGGCTCACAGTGACCGCTAACTCCAGCTCTAGCCGACAACCGCTCCCATACTACAGTGCTTTGGGTAAAAAACGTGCCCCTCAGAAGGCTCGTGAATTTGAACGCTTGGTCCACAGTTGTTGCCTCCTCTGTGTAGACAGAAACGTAGTCTGCTAGCTTCCTGCTCTGGCTGCCATACTTTCCCTGCCTGCTATGAACCCTTCCTCAGCATGATGGACTCTGTCCTTCTCTTGCTTTTTTGGTCATGGCATTTTACCACAGCAACAGAAAAGTAACTCCTCATGTGCCCCCAAACATGGGCTGTTCTCCAGTTGGTGAGGTCTTGGCTACCTACCCACTGCCCCTGCCTGACTCTGGGAGGGTCCTGGGGCCTTGGCCACAGACTGCTCACCTGATCCTGCAGGTAAAGGGAGGCTTCAGAGACTGAGTTCTCCATGGCGGCCTTGCCTCGCTCTTGACTGTCTCTCAGGTCAGACAGCTCCTTCTCAATGTCAGACACTGTGACTCTGCAATGTTCAAAGAGCAGCTGCTTCTGCCACCGGCCCAGAACCTTTTGCGCGGTAGTGCAGAGGCCTGGCTGTTGGAGACACAGCAGGCTAAGAACCCCAGGAGGAACCTGGTGGTAGTGGTGGCACACGCCTTTAATCCCAGTGCCTTGGAGGCAGAGACAGGCGGATCTCTTTGAGTTTGAGACCAACCTGGTCTACAAGAGCAAGTTCCAGGACAGCCTCCAAAAAGCTACACAGAGAAACCCTGTCTCGAAAAAACAAAAAAACAAAACCAAAAAACAACAACAAAATAAAAACCAAAGCCACAAAACCCCAGGAGCCTCTGTCTAGGGGTCCCAATTGGGGTCCTGGGGTGGACATAGCCCACAGAGAGACATTGCAAGAAGCATCCTGGTGCCAACAAGGGGAATGTAGGGCAACTTGTACGAGATCTCGAAAAGACTAGGACAGCCTGAAGGGTTTGTACAACCCACATGTGGTCAGTACAGGGCATGGGGACACAGAAGGCTACCACTACTGCCTGGGCCTCAGCCATGATGCCAGTCGGGGACGCTAGCTTCAGAGAGAGGGTATCACCTGAGGATGCCCAGCTGCAAGCTCAGATGACTGGGTTTGATGTCCTTCCCTCCAGTGCTGTCACTATCCAGCAGCTTCTGTATCCTGTCCAGCTGCAAGCACAAAGGAGGCCGAGTGTCAGACATACCTGAGCGTCTACTCCCATAGGTGGCCCTCAGGATAGTCAACCCTCTTCTATCTCATGGATGAAGCTGCTAGCCACAGAGACCCAGCAGCCTCTTGCAATGGGTCTATCTCTAAAGAGTCCCTAGTAGGGCTCCAAGGCTGTCACGTGGGATGTGAGCCTGCCAGCTTGGTCCCACAGCTGCATCAGTCACAAATGAACACACAGATGCGATATTAATTATGAAACTGTTGGCCAATGACTAGGGCTTCTAGCTCTGTCTTAATTATTAACCCATTTCCATCAATCTATGTATTGTCACAAGGCTGTGACTTACCCGGTAATGTCTGGCATGGCGTTACTCTGTCAGGCAGGCTCACTCTGCCTACCTTTCCCAGAATCTTCCTCCTCTCCTAGCCCCACCTATCTTCCTGCCTGGCCAGTCAGTGTTTCATTCACCAACCAATAAGAGAAACATATACAGAATAACATCCCCCATCAGATGTGTGTTAACTGGGACACACACACACACACACACACACACACACACACAAATTTTTTTTGAGACAGGCTTTCTCTGTGGCTTTGGAACCTTGAGCTCCACTCTGTAGACCAGGCTGGCCTCAAACTCACAGAGATCCACCTGCCTCAGACCAGAGTCTGGGATTAAAGTCCTGAGTGCTGGGATTAAAGGCGTGTCATCACCACCCGGCCAGGGCCTCCTATATTTTAAAGGCTCTGAGTATCCGTCTTCATGACTGATATAGGGTTGTGTTTTCTGTATGACTGGGTAATAAGGATGCAATGAGACCACAGTGTAGGGGGGCTCTGTGGGCATCCAGCCTAAGTCTCTGATTAACTCTTACGCACTTTGGCCTTGTCCTGCCGAATTTCTTTGTTCAGGGCCTTTAGGCTCTTCAGCTGCTCCTGCAGGTCCTGAGGGATGGACTTTTTGACTATGGAATACAGAGGCTACCATCAGGGTGTGAGATTCCCATCAGTCTCCCCACCGGCTTCCAGTCCCTTGATCAGGAATTGACACACACACACACCCACCACCCCCGCACCCTCCCCATCAAGTGGGAAGATTACTTGGTGCTGTTTCGTTGGTGACTGGGCAAGGAGGCAGGAGAAGATGGGAGGACTGGTGTTTGTCCAGAATCTCACCTACTGCTGTGGCGGCCATTGCCATCAACCACTGAGTTGTGACTGGGCATATGGCAAGCTTCATCTGCAACTCTCTCTCTCTCTCTCTAGCCCCCCCCCCCCCCCCCCCTCTTCCCCCCCCCCCCCCCGCGCCTCTCTCTTCCCACTCACCTCCAGGCTCTGCCCTCCCTAAGTATATGCCCGCCCCCTGCTGTCCTGACCCCAGTCTGCCCCAGTCCTGCCTACTGGCTGTTTCCTAGGCCTCCCCACAGGCTGTGGCTGGATGTGGACTGAGGTATGGCAGGAGACTCCTCTGCTCAGGGGACAGAGGGATGATACTGAGGAAAGCAAGGCTTTTGATCCCTCCCTCGGCAGCAAACGGTACTCACCCATCGTGGTCAGTAAGTTCTGGATTTTCTCCATGTCTGTCAGGCCGGTCTGCTCCTCCTCCAGTTTCCTCATGTGCTCCTTCAGTTCCACGTACAGGCTGATGATCTCGCCCAACAGGCGGAATGTTTCCACAGCCATGGGGAAGTTTGGAGCCAGCTTCTCCAGTGACTCCTGCCTATCAGTTTGGGTCTCACTTCCCGATGAGGCTTGCAGGAGATAGCTCAAGGACGCGTGGGGCCTGGTGCGAGTGGTATCTTGGTCTGGGCCCGTTGGGGTAGCCAGTTCAAACTGGACGGAGGCATGTTTCCTGCTTGGATCCCAAAGGGCCTGGTCAGATGTGTCAACTGTCTGTTCTGAGCCAGAGTAATCCAGGTCAGCCTGGATTTGACCATAGTGAACTCCACCTGGAATTGTCTGGCCTTGATGATCTGGGACTTGTTGGCCTGGGCCCTGATGCCTGCCTTGGGCTTGTTCAGGAGTTAGCATAGGATGTTGATACATATCTCCCTGCCATGATGTAATGCCACGAAGCTCTGTGCTTGGTCCCATGAAGCCTGTCTGGCTTGTAGTGGTTTGTCTCATACCAGGTGGTTGTGCACCAACTACAGCCACGCTAGGCATGAATGCACCAGGCTGAGCCAAACCTTCAGGACCTGCACCAAGCTGAGCCAAACCTTCAGGGCCTGCACCAGGCTGCACCAGGCCACGCTGATCCACACCAGGCTGCACCAGGCCACGCTGATCCACACCAGGCTGCACCAGGCCACGCTGATCCACACCAGGCTGCACCAGGCCACGCTGATCCACACCAGGCTGCACCAGGCCACGCTGATCCACACCAGGCTGCACCAGGCCACGCTGATCCACACCAGGCTGCACCAGGCCACGCTGATCCACACCAGGCTGCACCAGGCCACGCTGATCCACACCAGGCTGCACCAGGCCACGCTGATCCACACCAGGCTGCACCAGGCCACGCTGATCCACACCAGGCTGCACCAGGCCACGCTGATCCACACCAGGCTGCACCAGGCCACGCTGATCCACACCAGGCTGCACCAGGCCACGCTGATCCACACCAGGCTGCACCAGGCCACGCTGATCCACACCAGGCTGCACCGGGCCTTGCTGATCCACACCAGGCTGCACCGGGCCATGCTGATCCACACCAGGCTGCCCCAGGCCATGCTGATACACACCAGGCGGCACCGGGCCACGCTGATCCACGCCAGGCTGCAGTCGGCCACGATGATCCACACCATGCTGCAGTCGGCCACGATGATCCACACCGGGCTGCACCGGGCCACGCTGATCCACACCAGGCTGCACCGGGCCACGCTGATCCACACCAGGCTGCACCGGGCCACGCTGATCCACGCCGGGCTGCACCGGGCCACGCTGATCCACACCGGGCTGCACGGGGCCACTCTGGTATACTCTAGGCTGTGCCAAGCCTTGCTGGTCTGCACTAAGTTGTGCTGAGCCATGAGGAAGTGCTCCAGGTCGTGCCAAGCCAGGTTGCACCCAATCACGCTGATCCATGCTAGGCTGTGCCAAACCCTGCTGATTCATGCCAGGTTGGGCTAAGCTACTCTCACCTGCACCCGGTTGTACTGAGCCACTCTGACCCATCCCAGGTTGTGCCCAATCAATTTGATCTATGCCAGGTTGCAGCAGACCTTGCTGATTTCTGCCAGGTTGGAGTAAACCATGTTGTGCTGCACCTGGCTGCACAAATCCATACTGATCAGTTCTTGGCTGAACCAAACCATATTGATCTATACCAGGCTGGATCAAGCGAGGTGAATATGGGTCAGGCTGTACCCAGCTGCTAGGAATAACCCCAGGTTGCATCGGAACACGTTGAGCTACACCTGGTTGCACCAGGTCAGGCTGAACTGCACTGGGTTGTGCCATACCAAGCTGATCTACACCAGACTGTGCAAAATTCCAGTTTGCACCTGGCTGCACAAAACCATGCTGATCCATTCTAGGTTGCACCAAACTATCCTGAACTGCACCAGGTTGCATCAACCCAGGTGCATACACATCTGGCCGTACCAGCCCATGCTGAGCTGCACTTGGTTGTGCCAGTCCATGGTGATCCATTCCAAGTGGTACCAAATCATGTTGATCTACACTAGGTTGTACCAAACCAGGCACAAATGTACCAGGCTGTACCCAGCCACGCTGATCTGTGCTCGGTTGAACCCAAACAGGCTGACCTGTGCCAGGTTGCACTAAACCTTGTTGACCTGCACCAAGTTGTGCCAAACCAGGTTGAATCAAGCTAGGCTGGCCTGCACCAGGAGGTACCAAATGTTGGTCTGTGCCAGGCAGCACCAAACCATTCCAATCTGTGCCAGGTGGTACCAAACCACGTTGATCTGTCCCTGGCTGCGCCAAACTCTGATCTGCCCCTGGCTGTATTGAACTCTGCCGATCTGCTCCAGGACGTGCTGAACCTCGCCAACTTGCCCCAGACTGCGACAGACTCCGCCGTTCTGCCCCAACGGGTTCTGAACTACGCCGATCTTCATCAGACCTCCGATCCGACCCAGCAGGTTCTGAAATACGCCTATCAGTAGTAGCAGGCCTCATCAACATACGGGGATCTACACCGGGCTGCACAACACCACGCACCTCTGCTCCAGGCTGAATCAAGCCACGCTCATCAACAAAAGCCTGCACAGCACCACGCGCCTCTCCTCCAGGCTGCATCAAGCCACGCTGATCTACACCAGGCTGCGAAACACCACGCTGCACAACTCCATGCTCATCCACAAAGGCCTGCACAGCCCCACGCGCCTCTGCTCCAGGCGGAATCAAGCCACGCGGAGCAACGCCAGGCTGCCCAACACCACGCGCCTCTCCTCCAGGCTGCATCAAGCCACGCTGATCTACACCAGGCTGCGAAACACCACGCTGCACAACTCCATGCTCATCCACAAAGGCCTGCACAGCCCCACGCGCCTCTGCTCCAGGCGGAATCAAGCCACGCGGAGCAACGCCAGGCTGCCCAACACCACGCGCCTCTCCTCCAGGCTGCATCAAGCCACGCTGATCTACACCAGGCTGCGAAACACCACGCTGCACAACTCCATGCTCATCCACAAAGGCCTGCACAGCCCCACGCGCCTCTGCTCCAGGCGGAATCAAGCCACGCGGAGCAACGCCAGGCTGCCCAACACCACGCGCCTCTCCTCCAGGCTGCATCAAGCCACGCTGATCTACACCAGGCTGCGAAACACCACGCTGCACAACTCCATGCTCATCCACAAAGGCCTGCACAGCCCCACGCGCCTCTGCTCCAGGCGGAATCAAGCCACGCGGAGCAACGCCAGGCTGCCCAACACCACGCGCCTCTCCTCCAGGCTGCATCAAGCCACGCTGATCTACACCAGGCTGCGAAACACCACGCTGCACAACTCCATGCTCATCCACAAAGGCCTGCACAGCCCCACGCGCCTCTGCTCCAGGCGGAATCAAGCCACGCGGAGCAACGCCAGGCTGCCCAACACCACGCGCCTCTCCTCCAGGCTGCATCAAGCCACGCTGATCTACACCAGGCTGCGAAACACCACGCTGCACAACTCCATGCTCATCCACAAAGGCCTGCACAGCCCCACGCGCCTCTGCTCCAGGCGGAATCAAGCCACGCGGAGCAACGCCAGGCTGCCCAACACCACGCGCCTCTCCTCCAGGCTGCATCAAGCCACGCTGATCTACACCAGGCTGCGAAACACCACGCTGCACAACTCCATGCTCATCCACAAAGGCCTGCACAGCCCCACGCGCCTCTGCTCCAGGCGGAATCAAGCCACGCGGAGCAACGCCAGGCTGCCCAACACCACGCGCCTCTCCTCCAGGCTGCATCAAGCCACGCTGATCTACACCAGGCTGCGAAACACCACGCTGCACAACTCCATGCTCATCCACAAAGGCCTGCACAGCCCCACGCGCCTCTGCTCCAGGCGGAATCAAGCCACGCGGAGCAACGCCAGGCTGCCCAACACCACGCGCCTCTCCTCCAGGCTGCATCAAGCCACGCTGATCTACACCAGGCTGCGAAACACCACGCTGCACAACTCCATGCTCATCCACAAAGGCCTGCACAGCCCCACGCGCCTCTGCTCCAGGCGGAATCAAGCCACGCGGAGCAACGCCAGGCTGCCCAACACCACGCGCCTCTCCTCCAGGCTGCATCAAGCCACGCTGATCTACACCAGGCTGCGAAACACCACGCTGCACAACTCCATGCTCATCCACAAAGGCCTGCACAGCCCCACGCGCCTCTGCTCCAGGCGGAATCAAGCCACGCGGAGCAACGCCAGGCTGCCCAACACCACGCGCCTCTGCTCCAGGCTGAATCAAGCCACGCTGTTCTGTACCAGGTTGTGCAAAACCTGGTGCTTCTAACCTGGGCTGTCCAATGACTTGTTGATATGTGCTAACTGGCATCAAACGGGGTGACGCCAAGCTGTATTGACCTGGAAGAGATGTAGGGACCACACGCTGATCTATGCCAGCAGGCAATACCAATCCCTGCTGATCCACACCGGGAGGGATCAGTCCCTGCTGAGCTTGGCCAAACACTAAAAATCCATGCTGATCTACAGCAACTGGTATCAGCCCTTGCCTATCCCTGGCCCATGGTCCCACACCACTGTCATACATGACAGCCTGTTCCATGCCAATTTGGTCTGCTCTAGGGAGAACCATGCCTTGCTGAGATGCACTGAGTGGAACTGAAGTAATCGGACCTATGCTGGTTTTGTCCAGTCCTTGTAGACCCCTGTCAGGCACTGATGGTGGCAGCAGACCACTTTGGTCCACACCAAGGGGCACCAGTCCCTGGTCATCCATTTCTGGTGGCAACATGCCAAGCTGGCCCGTCGTGAGGGGTATCACAGTCTGAGGGTAAGGGCCAGGGTGTAGCAATGCAGGTTGATCCATGCCAATCCTTCCAATCCCATGCTCATCTGGCCTTGGATATGCTCGACCCTGACTAGTGCGAAACCCATCATGCTGGTCTCTGGCTACAGATAAGTCCTGCTGAATTGGGCCAAGCTGCTGTTCATTTCTTCTTGGACCTGTGGGAGCTGCAGGCTCTCTGGTACCCCGGCCATCTGAGGTGGCCTGGGATTGCTCACGGGCCCGTGAGTGCGGATCTCGAAATCCAGCACTACGTCTGCCCTGGTCTCCACTAGTGACCCTTTCCGGGGACTGTCCTACACCACCGGCTAAGATCTGGTCTGAGCCACTAATGGAACCCGAAGCCTGGTCAGCCGCTGAGGCCTTGGGAAATACTCCACTTTGAAGGTCATTTGATGTTGACGATGTCATTTTGCGCCTGCCGAATGTTGCTGTTGATGAATCTGAGCTCTAGGTAAAGAGGAAGAAGGAAATTGGTTACAACTAGTAAGAAGCTGTAAAAGCTGAAAAGGCAGGCCATCTTGGGTACTGGGCTGGGATCACTTAAGACCCTGCAGAAAAGAAACTCTGTGCAAGTGTGTGTGCGTGCGTGTGTGTTTAAGTGTGTATATTTGTGTGTGTTGTATTTGTGTGTTATGTTTGTGTGTCTGTGAGTTTGTGTGTGTGTTTGAGAGTGTGAGTGTGTGAGTGTGTGTGTGTGTGTGTGTATGTTTGTGTGTATTTGTGTGTGTGTTGTATTTGTGTGTTATGTTTGTGTGTCTGTGAGTGTGTGTGTGTGTGTGTGTATGTTTGTGTGTATTTGTGTGTGTGTTGTATTTGTGTGTTGTTTGTGTGTGTCTGTGAGTTTGTGTGTGTGTGTGTGTGTGCGCGCGCGCGCACGCGCGCGCGCGTGTGTTATTTGTGTGTGTGTTGTATTTGTGTGTTGTTTGTGTGTGTCTGTGAGTTTGTGTGTGTGTGTGTGTGTGCGCGCGGTAGCACGCGCGCGCGCGTGTGTTATTTGTGTGTGTGTTGTATTTGTGTGTTAAGTTTGTGTAAGTGTGTGTGTGTGTGTGTGTGTGTGTGTGTGTAATGCTGGGCTGTGGAAATGTTAGGTAGGTCCTCTACCGCTGAGCCATACTCCAAGCCCTTTGTTTTGCTCTGATACTGAGGCATTGTTTCCATAAATCATCCAGGCTGGTCTTGAACTCACTCTGTAGTCTAGGCAAGTCTTGAGCATCTCATCCTCCTGCCTCCACCTCTCGAGTGCTGAGACAACAGCTATGCACTGCCATGCCCGGGAGGACTGACCCCGGCATTTTGTACATGTTCTGCAAACATTATACCAGCTGCAGTTTGGCTTTTTAAGACAACCTCCAGGTCGCCCTTTAATTTACAACCTTCCTTCCATACTTACTGGAATTAAAAGGCCATTGTCAGTTTACCTGCTTCTTACAAAGACCTTTGTGGTAATGTCTTATCTCAAAGATCCAGGGGACTCTCCCTCAAGATCCTTCATCAGACCTACAAAGTCCCTTTTGTCATTAGAAGGTAACACTGGAGGTCTTTAGGAGTGAGGATGTTGACATTATTGGGCCTAGGAACTCATTACAGACACTAAAGACAAATTCTGTGAAATTCTGGAAAAGTGGACACAGCAGCTACAGAAGTCATGGAAAAGGAGAGTCCTAGGTAGTGGCACTGTTTTTACTAAGGGCAGATGAGACCCAGGTGTTTCTGAGGATGCTTAATGAGCAGAGTCCTGGGAAAAACTGAACTTGATTCACAATATATTCACTTGGGGGGGTGAGATGGCTCAATGGGCAAAGACACCTGCCACCAAGCCTGACCTCAGTTCAACCCTGGGGCCCACATTGTGGAAGAAGGGCAGCATCTCTTAAGGCTGTCCTCTGACCTCCGTACAGGCATCCTGGAATGCACACAGTCATACACACAGAATAAATTAAAGTGTAATGAAGGTATATAAATTGTAACCCCCACCACAATGGTTTAAAGAACACAGTGTCTCTAACAGTCTCAATATATACTGCAAGATTTGGGAGCAGTTGCTATAGGAATAGCCCCTGATGAGCAATTTAGCCTTCACATCCAGCAGGGGCAATGTACAGTCTGAGCAGGCTGACATCTGCCCACTGGCTCATCTTGGTCTTCCTCTAGTTTTGACTTAAAGGTTCTGGGGAGATTTGGAATTTGGATGTCTTAACATTATGAGGAGGATAGGACAGCCTCCAAAGTCACAGACAAACCCTGTCTGGGGTCAGGCGGAGATTATAAGGAGGACCAGCAGTGGTGGTGCACGCCTTTAATCCTAGCAATTCAGGAGACCAAGGCAGGGGGATATTTTAGTTCGAGGCCAGCCAGGTCTACAGAGTAAGTTCTAGGACAGCCAGGGCTACACAGAGAAACCCTGTCTCAAACACACACACACACACACACACACACACACACACACACACACAAATGATTAGGAACACAATCATTTACTGACTGTTTCTTGTGGGTGACTATGTATGTGTGCACCTTTGTGGAGGTCAGAGATGGCCACTGTGTGTCTTCCTCAGTCCTCCTTACTCTTTTTGAGGAAAGGTCTCTCATGCAACTGTGAGATCACCAGCTCAGCAAGGCTGGCTGACCAGCACACCCCAAGGATCCTCTTATATCTCCTCCTCAGAACATGGATTACAGGCACACACCTCTCTGTCTTGTGGTGATACATTGTTTATGATCTAATAAAGTCACTGGAGGTCAGAATGCAAAGCCAGTCACACTAGTCAGCTATAGAATCTGGGCAGTGGTGGCACACACCTTTAATACTAGGACTCATGAGACAGAAGCAGATGGATCTCTGAGTCCAAGACCACCCAGGGCTACAATGAGAGTGAATCAATCTTAAAAGGTAACAGAACTCACGCCTTTCATCCCAGCGCTAGAAAGGTATATAAGGAAGAAGCAAAGAGTCTCATGGGAGATTAGTTTCCAGTCACAGGGAAGACAGGATCTCCATTTCAGCCCTGGTAGAGATGAGAGCTACTGTCTGGCTGCTTTGCTTCTCTGATCTTCAGCTTGAGCCCCAGTATCTGTCTCTGAGCTCTTATTCCTGCCACAATGCCTGGCTTTACAGGGCTGCCGAGGACAAAGCTCAGGTCTTTATGCTGAGCTGGCTCACTTGCTGGCTGACTTTCCCCACCCTGCCCTGCAATTTTCTCTTCTTTCTAGTTCTCCACAGGGATCTGCAAGATAAGACTTTTGTCTTTTGCTTTAACTTCAGCCTGCCAGGCACCAAAGCATGGCGTTTCACAGGCTTTTGTTTGTTTTGTTTTGTTTTTGAGACAGGGTTTCTCTGTGTAACAGTCCTGGACGTCCTGGAACTTGCTGTGTAGACCAGGCTGGCCTTGAACTCACAGAGATCCACCTGTCTCTGTCTCAGAGTCCTGGGATTAAAGGTATGTACCACCACTGCCTGGCTTTTGGCATTTTTTTTTATTATTTAGTTAGTTAAATTTTGAGACAGGGTCTTGCTATGTCTTTGTGGCTGGCCTGGAACTCTTGATGTGGATCAGCGAGTCACCTATGAAGGTCCTGTGACAATGACTAGGGTTGTTAAGCATGTGGCAGTGAGCTGTGCCATCTCAGGGTGGACAGACATTAGCAGGGGCCTCCTGCTGCATCACTAGTCGCAGTTCGGGCCACCCTGGTCCACACATGTGAAGGAGTGGATGCTTTTCAGGATGGGCTGGAAAGGAAGGTCTGGAGAGCTACAGAATCGAGAAAACCACCCTTGGGCATCCTTTTCCTCCCAGTGCACTGGCCAAGCTCAGCAACGTGATCACTGACATAGCAGTCTAGGTAGGAGGAGCCCTAAAGAATAAAGTGACCTTTCTCCATGTTGCTGCTTGGACTCTAAGCTGGGGAAACATACAATAGCAATAGGTAGAGGAGTGGAAAGGTGTGCTTCCCAAACCCAGGGATTTATCCGGTTCATTCATGTCAGTGCCATCCTGGGGGAAATGTTTTAAATATCCACACTGTAGAGTGCACAAAGTAAATTATGAAGAAACAAATTCCAGAATGTGGAGCAGTGGTTAATTCCACGCTCTCTGGAATCCCACACAACGCCACTGCCCAGGACCCCTGTTTATTTACCCTTCTGGAGGCCTTCCAGCCATCAGTGATCGCTTGTTCTAGCTCTTCCCAAGTGACCATGGTGATATCTTCACCACCTGGAGCAAAATTCAGCTTCCGATTTAATTGATCCTATCAGCAACAGACCAAGACACAGACACACGCATGTGTGAGCATGAAAGCACATACACACTCAGCCTGCAGATCTGACTCGTAGGGCTGAGTAGGTGCTACCAACAGCCCCAGCCCCAAGCAGGTTCACTGGCCTTCAGTGACCAGCCACAAGTACAGAATTGGTTGGCTGGTTTGTCTCATGTCAACTCTGGATAGAGTTCTGAGCAGAGATGGCAAGGACTCACACCTCCGTTGGGAAGAGGTGCCACTTAGTGGCAGAGTGCCTGTCCCCCTGTCCTGAGGGACACAGATACTGGCATGGGGGGGTGGAGTTGGGACCAGTCCTAGAGAGAAGCTAGGCTGAAGAGAAGCCCTCTACCCCTCAGGGCCCTTTCCCCAGGGCTTGTCCTCATTACCAGATAGTCCTCTCGGTCTTTGACTAACTTCTCAAGTTCATTAACACGCTGATGGAGTTCCTGAAAAATTTGGAAATGGACCATCAGCCAGCCCTCCTGTCTCCACACACACACACACATATACCCACACGCACGCACGCAAGCACATGCAGACACACACACATACATGCAGACACACACACACACACACACTCCCATGCAGACACACACACATGCATACACACACAGACACATACCATACACACACACACCATACACACACCACACACACCAACACACACACACCACACACACACCACACACACACACACACACACACACACACACACACACACACACACGGACACTGCCGTGGTGCAGATGGGAGAAGGAAATGAGGTGTGTGTGGCTTTCTAGTTTCTACCTCGTTTTACATGAGAGGTAAAGCAGGTTCCCAGTTCTTTTCCTGGTCAATGGGAGGAGGGACGAGGATTGCAGTGGTGATAGCACTAAGAGGGTACAGTGTACCCAGTCAGTGCTCGTGTGGGGGCGAGACAGCTGGTCCTGGCGAGACGGCTGGCCCTGGCTTCACCTCACACTACCACTACCCCAAACTTCTAACCCTATAGCCCAAGGCCCACCTTACCTCTCCAAAATCAAGTACCAGGTCCCCCAGCATCCTGCCAGTCTGAGCCATGGAAGGAGAAAACCCTCAGGGGTCCCAGCAAGTGACCTGCACTTCAGGTGTTCCTTACAACCGGTGCTGACCTCCAGGATCTAAGACTCAAAAGTTTAGAAAAGGCCGTGCATCGTGTTGCGTGCCTGTTATCCCAGTTCTTGGGAGGTGGCTAAAAGGATCAGGAGGTCAAGGTCAGCCTTGACTACACAGTTAAATTCAAGGTCAGCTGGATTACAAGGAAACTGTTTCAGAAAAAAGAAAAAAAGAAAAAAGAACCTGGGCGTTGGTGGTGTGTACCTTCAATACCAGCAGTCGGATCTCTGAGCTTGAGGCCAGCCTTGCCTATAGACTGAGTTCTACAGGACAGCCAAAGCTACATAGAGGAACCCAAAACCAACAGAGAAAATGAGGTTTCCTTCCCAGAGTAAAGATGAGAGGTGGAGGGTTCCCAGGCCTTTGCAATGCCAGGCTGGGGTAAAAGCTAAGAGACCCCTACTCCAGGGCTTGGTCTCCTCTGGCCTGTCTTAAATCCATTTCTCTATGGGCCCCCTCTATCCTTTCTTACTGATGGCCCCACGCCTTCATTCAGGTCTGTAACCCTGTAACCCCTTGGCCTACTGTGTTAGAAGATGAGTCTGCCTGCCTTCAACTGAACTGACTTGCTTTGTGTCTCCTCCTAGTGATCATAGGACAGTGTGCACGGAGGGACCACTGGGAAAACCCAAGGCAAGGTTCAAGTGTCCCCAGCCTGCTGTAGCTTACATCTGTAACTATGGGGCACTGGTGTCTGACTTTCTCCCCTGACCCTTGGGGCTCAATATACACTGCTCTCCTCTGTAGGGAGTGGAGGCAGCTCTAAGCCAGTCAAGTCCCAAATGAATGTGTACTGCTGGCATGGGCGGGCACAGCTGTGTGAGGGACCCTAGAGCCTCAGAAGCACAGAGGAATGACAAAAGTGCCCCACCCCCCATCAGGCAATGTCAAAGCCTTTCTCTGTTTTGCCAGTGTGTACACCCACCACAGCACACTGTCTCCTCTGTGGATATTTACAGCTGAAGGCCCTACAGACTGCTCCAACTGAAGATGGGCTAAACCTGCCTCTGTGTTTGTAATTACTGCCGCCTTGTCCAGTTGTTCGTAATAAAGACACTTTGTTTGGGGTGTGGTGATTTCTCCTTCTGAGAACCTGGACCACTCAATCCCAACTTTCTTCCCCCATCCCCCAACTCCCACCTCCTTCTGTGTGGCTCTGTGTGTGTGTGGTCCTTGTTCCTTTGCTGCCCTCTAGAGGTTAAGCGAAGGGCCAGCACTCCTCCACTCCCCAGGCTGGCCTAAAATTTACTGCCTGGCCTGGCCTTGAACTTGCATCAATCCTCAGTCCACAGCCTCCCGAGTGCTCCTGGGATTACAGGCAGTAATGGCCATTCCCTACTTACTCTTCATTAATTTGCTTTGTGCAGTGGTTTGAATGAGAATGGCCCCCATAGGCTCATATATTTAAATTCTAGGGCACAGCACTATTTGGGAAGGATTAGGAGGTGTCTCTAGTTTCCCACTGCCTATGGATCTGGTTGAGCTCTCAGCTATGTCTCTGCCCATAGTACTTCAGCATGACAATGGACTGAACCTCTGAAACTGCAAACAAGCCCCGATTAAATGCTTTCTTTTATAAGAAAGTCATGGTGTCTCTTCACAGCAACAGGACACTGACTAAGACACAGGGTCTCATTACGTATCCCTGGAACTCACTCTGTACACCAGGCTGGTCTCAAACTCACAGAGATCTGCCTGCCTCTGCCTCCCAAGTGTTGGAATTAAAGGAACCACCCCAACAAGATAGTCTCTCTCTCTCTCTCTCTCTCTCTCTCTCTCTCTCTCTCTCTCTCTCTCTCTCTGTGTGTGTGTGTGTGTGTGTGTGTCGCTGTGTGTGTCTGTGTGTTCTTGCTTGCTTATTGTTTCTCAAGACAGTTTCTCTGTCTATGTAGCCTTGGCTATCCTAGAACTTGCTCTGTAGATCAAGCTGGCCTTCAACTCACAGAGATCCGCCTGTCTCTGCCTCCCGAATGCTGGGATTAAAGGTGTGTGCCACCAGTTGTTTTTTTTTTTCTTGAGACAGAGTTTCTCTGTGTAGCTTTGGAGCCTATCCTGGCACTTGCTCTGGAGACCAGGCTGGCCTCCAACTCACAGAGATCTGCCTGCCTCTGCCTCTGTCTCCCGAGTGCTGGGATTAAAGGCGTGTGCCACCAACGCCTGGCTTTGATTTTTTTTTTAAATAGGAAATTATGTTCCTTTTTTAAAAAATTATTTTTTCTTTTAATTTTTTTTCATTCTATTTTTTATGTGTGTTGGTGTTTTGCCTGTGTGTATGTCTGTGTGTGGCTGTCAGGTCCTGGAACTGGAGTTACAGTTGAGAGCTTCCATGTGGGTACTGGGAATTGAACCTAGGTCCTCTGGAAGAGTAGCCAGTGCTCTTAACTGCTGAACCATCTCTCCAGCCCTGATAGTCTCTATTTTTAAGAAGAATTCATTTTAAGAAGAATTCACTTTAAGAGAATTCTGTGATGTCCGGCTGGAGGGATGGCTCAGAGGTTAAGAGCACTGGCTGCTCTTCCAGAGGTCCTGAGTTTAATTCCCAGCAACCACATGGTGGCTCACAACCATCCGTTATGAGATCTGGTGCCCTCTTCTGGCCAGCAGGCAGATATGCAGACAGAACACTGCATACATAATAAACAAATAAATCTTTAAAAAAATGTATAAAAAAAAAAGTGTAAAAGCCGGGTGGTGGTGGCACACGCCTTTAATCCCAGCACTCGGGAGGCAGAGGCAGGAGCATCTCTGAGTTCAAGACCAGCCTGGTGTACAAGAGCTAGTTCCAGGACATCCTCCAAAGCCACAGAGAAATCCTGTCTTGAAAAACCAAAAAAAAAAAAAAAAAAAAAAAAGAGTATTCTGTGATGTCAGCTCCCATCTAGGTTGCTTTAGGTTTTATAGGTATCTAGATAGTTTTTTAAAGATTCATTTATTTTTATGTTCATATACATCTGTGTATGGGTGTCAGATCCTGTAGCTGGAGTTAGACAGTTGTGAGCTGCCATGTGGGTGCTGGGAATTGAACCCGGGTCTTCTGTAAGAGCAGCCAGTTCTCTTAACCGCGAGTCATCTCTGCGGCCCCTCTTGATAGGTTATTATTAATGGCTCCAGGAAACAGTGGATAGGGCTGCAGAAATGGCTCAGCATGTAAGAGCTCTGGCTGCTCTCGCAGAGGACCAAGGTACCTACTTGGTGGCTCACAATAACTGTAATTCCAGTTCCAGAGATTCGATGCTTTCTTCTGGACTCCTTAGGCAGTGCATGTGTGCTGGTGCACACACAAGCAAGCAAAACTTACTCATACACAAAAAGTAAAAATAAGTTATAAGAAGAAAATGAGCCAGGCAGTAGTGGTGCACGCCTTTAATCCCAGCACGTGAGAGGAGGAGGCTGGCGGTTCTCTGAGTTCCAGGCCAGGCTGGTCTGCAGGGCCAGTTCCAGAACAGCCAGGGCTACACAGTGAAACCCTGTCTTGAAAAACCAGAAAGAGAAACAAACATACAAGCAAACAAACAAACAAAAAGGAGAGAGAAAGGAAAAAGGAGGAGAGTTGTGGCAAAGCGTCACCCCACTTGTGAGGTGTGGTCCCCGGGATGTCCTCACCTGTTGATCCAACTCAGTCACCTCGTGCATCTTCTGCTGGGCTTCTCTCAGGGTTCTCACATCTTCTGCGAGTTCTTGGAGCACATTTAGGGACTGCAAGGGAGAGTAGGGGCTGTGTGGTGCCAGCCTAGTACCCCTATCTGCTTAGGGACTGAAGGGTGGGCTGGAGGAGCAGAGGCTCTGTAGGATCAGGATACCTACCTTGGCTGGGACGGTTTCTTTCTGAGTCTTTGAGAGCCTTGGCTGTGTCGCCCGCGGGGGTGGCCCGACTGTGGGCTCAGGTCTCTCCTTCACCTCTGTGGATTCATAGCTCCTGGAGGGCTTTGTGGAAGGTATCTGTGGGCCCATCAGAGTTATGTCCTCCTCCAACCTGGGGAACTCCTGGAAGATGTCAGCGTCTGTGGAGATGTTATCCACTTGTGTGGCCAGGCCCTGCACTTTGTTGTCCATAGTCTTGATCTGTTTGCTGAGGTCCTGGACCAAGTTGCCCAGGTCCTTCACTTGATTCTCCAGCGACTGCTGAGGTACTGACAGCCTGAACACACTCCGGCGCTTCTCTTGCTTCTCTTTGCTGGCTGGCACATGAGGGACGCTGAAGGAGCTTCGGATCGTCTCGGTTGGGCGGCCAGGCTCAACCGACGGGTATTGGAAATCGATGAGGACCTCCTGGAGGTTGAGGCTCTTGAGCATGGACACTATCAGTGTGTGCAGGGCCGTGAAGTTCACCGCTCCCACCTCTGGAGTGCCGATCGCCAGGTCGGCCAGCTCCCGGAGGGTGACCCTG